TGTGATCGAAGATTAAGCAGTAGATCTTTCGAATTTTTCAGAATCCACATCTGGTTAACACCATTGGTAGAATATATCTCATCACAATATTTTTGAAGGCCATCTTTAACTGAAGAAAGTATAGTAGTCAGTACTTTAGAAAGATGTTTAGTCGAACATTTTGATGATCAAGCTTTGTATCGTTCTTTATATGGAGTTTTGTGAAGTTTTGGTATCCAGTATAATGACGGCAAATTTTGTTCGTTTTCTTTGATGTTGATACCAAAAGAAAGAAGGACAGATTTATGATTTTGTAAAATTTTATCCTTGGTAAATTATGTTAAAGAATATGTAGGATTACCAGTTGTTCTATTTATTCCAAGCTCTGTTGTGAGACATTGCAAATAATGGTTTTTACATATGAAGACAATATTATTGGAGGCTTTATCTGCTGGAACAACGACATACTTGTCATGCAAAGAGAATAAAGCATCCACAACCTCCGGATTCTAGAAAGGGTTAGCAACCCTTGTGCTCATAGTACATCGTAGTTTCTGAATGCGCTTCTGAATGCATGATCGAATAGCTTTGATCCATTCAGACATAGTGTCCAGTTCTGGTTCGTCTGGTTCGCGCTTTACCCATTTTCTTGCATAGTCCTCAACTGCATCCATCAGTAACCTGAAGTTCTTTTTCCAGTTGATGGGCTGGGGAATTCTATATTTTGGTCCCTTGGATAACAACTCCCTTAGTTGTTTATTGGTAACGATGCCAAGGTCGCCAGTAATAACATGACCAGCTGGACTATAACTGTATTGCGACGATGCACATGAGCAATCCGGAGGCTTGGATTTCACATCTTTGAGGTTAAAGGCTTCTAAAACCCTCTTGTGGTTGAAAATCTTGGATGCAATAGACTTGGTGTAATTATAAGAAATTACAGGTGTAGCTTTATTTTTGAAGTAATCAGGTATAGTTTTTTGTACAGATTTCTGGTGGAAAATATTGCTTATATTAATAGCATCTAAACCTTTATTGGCGAATTATAATAATGACCACATACTTGATATTTATGTCAACAACGAGGTGCTGACTACTTGGCTGGTGATGACGTTTGGGTGAATAAATGAGATAATGTTAAATGTATTTTGAAATAGAGTGTACAGTAATATTCTGTTTCAAATGATGATGATTAAATGGAATCAATGGCATGGAACAACGACATATTATCTGAATCATATTCAAGAGGAAATTTTCACTAAATAACACAATTGTGAGAATATTAAATATTTTGGAGAATATTCAAATATGGGATGGGAACACTTGTTTTATGTATACGGGTCGGTAATCTAATAAGAAGAAAACAAAAACATGACTTTGCAATATATCCAACGTCAGCCTATTTACAGTTTATAAAATTCTCAAGGTGACATTTGTAATTATATACTTTGAACACTAACTTTATCAACACATCTAAATATAAATTGTCCAGGCGTAACAATAACATGTCTATTTCATATCAATTGATATTCTGCACTTCAAGAAGGTAGCGTTTAATGTGAAATGATAGACAAGAATTTACAAAAACTCAAAATGTAATAATTTCCATAATTAATAAAAGTAAGAAACACACAACATTTGATAATTTTTGCACTTTACGAGACGTTCTCTGTGGGCATTCCCAGGTTTACGTAATATTTGTATTATATGTCTGACTTAAACAAATTAGAAAAAAATACATTTGATACGATACAAATGTATGCTGTTTCCAAAGTGACAAACTATCACATATTATGTTATGATGTAATATCCATTTGTGTTGAACATTAATGTACTGATTGCACATGGAATATCCGTTTCACAGATGGTATTATATTATATTAGATAAATATATAATGTCGTTACTACAATCCCATTCCCTTTCCACAAATATGACCTACCGAATAAGACTTTTTATCGGGTTTGTAATAACATGAGCCACATATGGAGCAAACTATGCTTATCCTTCCGGAGCACCAGAGATCACCCCTAGTTTTTTTGTGGGGTTCTTGTTGCTAAGTCTTTAGTTTTCTATGTTGTGTTTTGTGTACTATTGTTTTTCTGTTTGTCTTTTTTTATTTTAGCAATAGCGTTGACAGTTTATTTTTAATCTATGAGTTTGAATGTCTCTCTCGTATCTTGCGCCTCTCTATTTTAATGTAAGATCTACTATAACACTAAAAACAACAACTTGAAAATACGAAATTATTGATACTTTTTAAATGATTTTCAACAATAAAAACACCGCCTGATTTCAAAATAACTATATGAAGGATAGTGCTATAGAGGCAAATAACCACTCCAATTATCTTTACAGTACCAACTTCACTGCAGTTGGATGTGTATAGCTGTAGCATGTACAGTGCGAATTAACTGAAAACTGAACATGGCTTAATAGTTAATTGTTCTCAGAAGTTCTGAGACTGTAATGTGTTCTATATGACGTGAACTGCAAAACATGTCTAGATGCTCAAACGCGCCAAAGCGTTTTCTGAGCGCCCAATTGTGTCCATTTATTAAAAAAGGCCAAACGTGTCCGGTTCATATGAAACTCTAGAGTCTCCCATTTAAAAGCACAGAAACAAATTCTGCAATAAGCAGGTTGTGCATAACCCTCATACATTATACATACATTTATCCATCATCGGACAGTATTAGTACAAGAGAATTCACTTAAACTAGGATTTAAACTGTTTAAAACTCTTCTCTAAAATGACTGCGCAAATTTACTTTCTTAAAAATAGGAATACACCACAGGCATAGCTATCCCAAATTCTAGAATATAGTATTTGGACCAGTTATGTCATGATTTATGCGTTTATATAATTATATGATTAAAAAATGTTAACCTTTTGCCAATATTACAATTAAAAAGGAAGACGCAGGGATATATTACAAGTTACCATACATTATTGTCCGTTTTCATTGCTACCAGGGAAAAAATTAATTTGAGGTTTTTTTCCAGATATTTCATAGTTGTACTTGTTTCAAAGGTCTGGTATGACAAAATCACCTAGCAGACATAAGTTTTTGAGAAGTCAATAACGTTTTTTCGATTTATTTATATTTAATTATAATTTATTGAAAATGGCTTTGAATTCTGGAATAAAGCCATTTTTAAAAATGGTAAAAAGTAACCTCCTGTAAATATAAAAAAGAAGATGTGGTACGATTGCAAACGAAACAACTCTCCACAAGAGACACTGACATTAACAACTATAGGTCACCGTACGGCCTTTAACAATCAGCAAATCCCATACCGCATAGTCAGCTATAAAAAGGCCCCGAAATGACAAAACAATTTAAACGAGAAAACTGACGGCCTAATTTATGTACATAAAAAAATGAACGAAAAACAAATATGTAACCCATCAACAAACGACAACCACTGAATTACAGGTTCCAGACTTTGGACAGGCAAATACATGCAGAATGTGGCGGGGTTAAACATGTTAGCGGGATCACAACCCCCCCCCCCCCCCCCCCTAGGACAGTGGTGTTACAGTACAATATAAGAACGAACTATAAAAATGAGTTGAAAAAGACATAACTCGTCAGATGAATACAAATAAAAATACATCTAACAAAAACACAGAGTGAACGTGGCCGGGTACTTGTATATCCCATCAACAAAAAGACACTAAGTACATATCTGAGAGTACTCACAGTTACTGACAGCTAGTTCAAAGCAAATTACAACTAATAGAAAAAAATCATGCATCTAAGACTAAATTATCAATAAGTACACATATGTATAGTTAAAACAATCATTTCTATTTCATTATTTTCACCATTTATTTAGTACGTCAATTTTTAAAATGTACTTGATAATCATTTGAAATGATTGCAAATATCACAAAATAAACTGAAAAGTGCAGTGTTTTTACAGTCAAGTTTGGGAAAGACCCTGCCAAACATGGATATATTTGTTTATCTGGCTGTCCCATGTATGAGAATAAAACAGATAAGAATTATAAATTATATGACTGGGCAGGTTAATTCATTAAAATGGAAATATTAGGCAAGTAACATATCTTATTTGGTGAAAAAAAGATGGGAAATAATAGTTTACTGTCAGTGCTGTGTCGACTGGAAATTATTTGTGTCTTTTTTTTAGGTTAATTTATGCTATCAAACACGAATAACGGGACGATGCATACATTTTGTAACGTACACACATATAATGCCGTTAAACGTGCAATCATCTGCTGATAAAAGATAATCTTAATTTCTCCTCCTTCAATACGTTATATTAAGCACATTGTAATGTTAGCATTTACGATTAGACAAGCATTTGGTATGACATTATTTTGTTTAAATGTTATATTCAACATCAATCTATAAAATAAATACACTAATAGCGGTTTTTAAACTTAGTAATATATCTTTCCATGAAAATATCATTTAGGAAATGAATACATTATATCTGACAACTTTCCTTTTATACAATTTGATAATCAAAGCAGGGTCCAGTGACTTAAGGACTTGGGATATTAAGCCAACGGACACAACTGTATTAGGTTAATAAACCAAAACATTATTTTCTCCTAATTACCGGGGTACTATGGCAGATACATCAAACGTATAAATGCATTAACACCGTAAAAAAATAAAAAAACAATTTATCGCCGATTTGTACATTTTCCCCTTGAACTTATTTTTTTTTTATCATGAACAGGACCTTTTATTTGAAAATATTAGCCAATATTAGCATGTAACTCTATAGCAATGTAACATATTCATGTTCATACGCGCTCGTGACTTCATCAATTCGTTTTTTTACGCGTAGAAATAGTTTTGCCTGTCATATCATTTTATTTTATAGTCACGAACAAAAAACATCAATATTCTTGCTGATGAAAATAGTATCAGAAGCAAAAAGGTCATTATTCTAAATATTGTAAGCATGAATCCATGTTATCATGACTTTTTGTGTACATTTTGTTTTTAAAACACAATATATTTAAGAAAAAAAAACTTACCCTTTAATACACAAATGCTCCATTGTACACAATGCGGTTTTTTAGTGAATGAATTTGATCGAGTTTAATTAAAGTTAAAAGATGTTTTATTTAAGTGAACAGTGATACTGGTTTAAAGGGATGATGTTTCAATGGACGTGATGAAATGGAACAAAGACGTATTATCATAATTAAATTCATGACGAAGTTTTTACTAAACATGCTAAAGTACAGTATTGTTGAATTTTAAACATTTTGGCAAATATTACTAAGTATCTTAATATCACTGTCATATGTATAGTTGACGTTTACTCTACAAATATACAGTCCGCCAAAAGTTGAGCACCACCTTAATATAATTGTCAATATTTTTTTAACTATTGCGAAAAAAATATTAATGTTTGGTGTTATGAATTGCCTATAGCATACACTAAGAAAATTCATTACGACCAAAAAATTTAAACTCCGATATACCCGCCAAGCAACCTTTTATTAAAGGTCATCTGCAGTTTTACAAATACACTGTTTCGATGCCTTTAAATCATCTTCCTACTGTCCCGCGTACAGGTGAAATTTGACCTTCACCAAGTCACTGTGAAATATGGCAAGCGGTAAGTTATCTGTGACTGAACGTTGACAAGCACTTGACATGTCAAATGCCGGTAGAAGCACTCTAGAGCATTGGTAACCATTTCAATGTTAATCGCACCGTTATTGTCAGATTTTTACAACGTCATATTGACACAGGAACTGTAAATGATAGACCAAGGTCCGGAAGACCCCGTTTAACTACCTATCGTGATGGCAGACTACTTATTGGTCGTGCTAAAGCCAACCCATTTACTCCTGCCCCATAGCTTAGACACCACTGGCCTCCAGGTGGTCGTGTTAGTGTTCGAACATTGGTCCGTCGACTTCATAGAGGCTACCTAAGAGCACGTGTTGTCAAAAGTCGTGCCCTAACAGCCAGGCACCGTATATTCAGGTTTCAAAGGGCTAATGACCATCGACGATGGACCATGAGAACCTAACAAAATATTCATTGGTCAGATGAGAGTTGGTTTCTGTAACAACCAATAGACGGCAGAATACGAGTTTGGCGGGGAAATTAAACTGCCTATCACCAAAACAACAATTGCCCAACGACAGCAATTGTTGATGGTGGTGTTACAGTATGGGGTTTCTTCTCATACTGTTGTAAGCTGGGTATGCATATTTTGCAGGGTTACATGAACAGACAAACATACAGGGATTTGGTGCTTAGAAACACTGTAGTCCCTCATTTTGAGAATCCCCAACTTGCGTCAAGACCCTCGTACATGGACGACAACGCTAGACCACACAGGGCAAGGATTGTAACCGATTACAAAGATCAAGAAGCCATTGACACTTTCTTTTGGCCTTCCATGTCTCCAGACCTGAACCCTATCAAACATGTCTGGGATGCCATTGGCAGAAATCTCAATCGCAGAGATCCACCTTTGCAAAATCTTGGCGATTTAAGAGGGGCAATTGTTGATGAATGGAATAAATTTGCTCAACTAAAGTTCAGAAGTCTTGTACAGAGTATGAGACTCCGTGTTATGGAACTGTACTGGAAGAGAGGTGGTTACACATCCTATTGACTTAAATATTGACATTAAATTTGCCGAACATACCAAAGATTATTTGTAGAGACTTTTAATGATTTTGGGTGATTAATTGTTGTAAAAAAATAAAATCAAAGTAAAACTTAAATTCCGTTTCTGACTTGTGTAATTTTCACTATTTCTATGAACGCAAAATTCAAATGCATGGAACCTGCATCAGTGACCAAACTTAACTATGGTTTGTTTATGGCATATGTTAGCAACATTGCTACATGAATATTTTCTCTTTTTCGAGGATTAACTGGTTTTTTTAAAGTGAAAAAAATCTCGATGCAACAAAGATAGGTGGTGCTTAACTTTTGGCGGACTGTATTTAACTATTATATATTATTCATGTCTTAGAAAAGGTATATACTGTGACATTACCGGCTTAGAGTTTATATTCCCTGAGCCAAAGGCGAAGGTGATATAAACTGTAAGCCGGGAATGGCACATTATATACCCTGTCCGCAGCCTGAATTACATATATATAACGAATTACCCCTGCCTAAATGTTTTTTTTAGTACCAGATATTTGTTTAAAGTTTTAATATGTAATACCGTGACTATAGCATAGTGGTAATACATTTTTTGTTTTTTTTTTAATCAAGAAATTTAGATATTATCTACATCACATATAATACGGATTTTTTGTAGTTTTGCCAGTTAGTTCATCCCGCTTATCATTGTAAAAACAACGACTGTAATGTCACGTGTTCTGTTCGTTTCCCGTTTTCACGCTAAATAATTTGGCTTTCACGTGTCACGCTTACAAAAAATCGGTCAATCCAAAACTTTAATGTGACATCGCCGTGACATCGCCCGATGTTAAAAAATATAATGAATGGAAATGATCCCGATTAACTTATGTATTTAATACATTTACAGATCTAAGTAATCTTAAGGAAGGTTAAACATAGAGAAAAAAGTAAAATCACAAAAATACTCCGAGGAAAATTCAAAAAGGAAAGTCCCCAATCAAATGACAAAATCAAAAGTTTAAACACATCAAACGAATGGATAACAACTGTCATATTCCTGACTTGGTACAGGCATTTTCCTATGTAGAAAATGGTGGATTAAACCTGGTTTTAAAGCTAGCTTAACCTCTCACGTGTATGACAGTCGCATCAAATTCCATTATATTGACAACGATGTGTGAACAAAACAAACAGACACAATAGGTAAAAATGTCATAAATAGGGGTACAACAGCAACACGAACCCCATCAAAAACTGGGGGTGATCAGATGCTCCGGAAGGGTAAGCAGATCCTGCTCCACATGTGGCACCCGCCGTGTTGTTCATGTTATTACAAGGCCGGTAAATAGTCTTATTCGGTAGGTCACATTCGTGATAAGGGAACGGGATTGTAGTTACGATATAAGGAACATATCCGATATCATATGTGAAACGGATTTTCCATAACGGTCAATCAACTCGTGATGGCGTCCGTAAAATTTACGAAGTGATGATTTCAACTGCACCATTTGGAACTCTTGAAATTATCCTAAAACAATACTATATAACTGTAACACTATTAGGGCGTACAGTCGTAGGTCAGTTAAACTTGCTTATGTCTTCATATTAAGGAAGGACAAACTCCCTCCGTGTATTTCAAAGGAAGAAATATATATTTCATTTTTTGTTTTTTTTCTTTTGATGAAATAAAAAAGGAGATATTAATTCCTTTGCAAAACCCCCCAGCTTCCCATGCCTTTATCCGGTTTTAATCAACCTCACATACGAATACAAAATCTAACTTAGATATTAAGTAACATGAGATTTAAACATGTACGTGTATATATGTATATATATAGTGCTTATTTAATCAGTAATTTAGAAATAAAAAGGGATTATGTTTCAATAAAGTATAATAATTAAAATACGACTTTATCTGACTGTGTGTGAGTTTATTTTTCTATCTAAACTGCGGAAAATATGATGAAATTAAAAATTATATCGATCACATGTATAATTTACACTTTTTCGGTCAGTATTGATTCTTCCGTGTGTTTGACATTAGAACATTGCGAAAAATGTTATTACTACAAAGATTTGGTATTATTAGTAAATAATAATCCTATTTAACTGTTTTGATCGAATTAATTTTTCGATAATTATAGTCGGTAAAACGTCACTTAAACAGCATTGTGTAACTTTAGTGAAAACAAAATACGTCAGCATGCATTAGAAGTGGTGCTAGAACGTAACAACGAGGACGTATCAAATGTGTTAAGTCCGTGTTGTAACACAAAATATTACAAAAACTGTAAAGCACTGCCTCCAGTATATATATTCAAAAATAAGAAATAAGTTTAAAACAATATCCGTATATTAATGCAAATACCGAAGTGTATGATGATTGGGCTACTGGTTTCCTCTGGTACTAAGAGTCCACCTGTAATTGTTTTGGTAACGACTCAGTGGTTATAAGAAAATAAACTGGAAGAATTTTCTCTCTGCGTTGACGAACTATTATGGTCGTCGGCTGTTTTCTGCTCTTTGTTATTAATTCATGCGGATTATGCAGTAATATTTTTATGAAGAATTAATTACATGCATATTCAGTATCATCAGCTCAGTAGTCAGTACTTTGGCTATTTTTAGGTATATGTTTTGTCATATTTATGTAGCTCTTTAAATATCTATGTACTATTTAATTCTAGGCTTTCATATATTTGGCTCTGAACGTTCCAATTGAAAGTAAATCCAGAAAAACGTTTCGGATGCATGAACTTATTGAATGTGTTGTTTTAGTTTTGTTATTAACAAAAAGTGTAAAGATTGTATACAAACTTTTTTATGTACCTTTAGAATAACTTATTATATTAGTCTGAATAGCAATCATTCCATGATATTGTTTAAACAAATTACTTCAGACATACATAAATGTGTGGGAACGAAAGATTGGCCCTGCTCGCAAAAAAATATTGAAGTCATTTTTCGAATGCAAAATTTCAAAGTCAAAAGCATGTCATGTCGGCAAAAAATCAGAGGAGCTGAACCAAACGTAAACTCTATATGTAACTCACCATACAAGACTCACATGCAGGTGAGATGTTTAGCTAGCTATAAAACCAGGTTAAATCCCCCATATTTTACAAAAGAAAATGCCTGTACAAAATCAGGAATATGACAGTTGTTATCCATTCGTTTGATTTTTTGAGCTTTTGATTTTTGCATTTGATTACGAACTTCGGTATATTTGTTGTTTTACTTTATACTTAACGTCATATAAAACGAATTCCTTGATTTTTTTTTATGTTTTCGAAGTGAACAAACGAATGCATGTTTACTATAATAAGTCTTGCATGCATGTTTTTAGATTCATTACACATCTATAACGCATTATCGACAAAATTTGTTTCATTCAGTGGTGGTTGAGCGCAAGATAATTAATTTTCGTAGTTATTGCCGAAGTTTACCGGATCATGACATTGATGAATAATAAAACCATAGCATTTGGAAAACGTGACTGATAAGAGAATCGAAAGACGCATGACAC